ATCCTGAATAACATGTAAACGAGCGTCTCTTGTCTGAAAGTAAATTTTCATTCCTGCAGAAGCTTCTTTCAATGTCTACTGATGTTATAGGTGCGTACTTGAAAAAGACGGTCTCACTTACTTACAATTCTTCTTCAATTCGAAAAGATTTTGCTTCACCTGTTAATATTCTATAGATTTTCTTCATTGTTTGGAAGCCAGTGTAATAATGAAAATTGATAAAAAAATAGTAAAAATTGGAAAAAATTAACAAAAAACTTTAAAAAATGCATTAAAATGCAAAATACGCCCCAAAATTTAATGAAAAATGCCCTATAAATCTAAAAAAATGCTTTCAAAGACAAAAAATGTCCAAAAATGCAAATGTCATCAAAATCCGGGCCTTACTAATAAGCAATAAGTAATATTTATTTTAAATTTTTATTTAGAATACCAGAACTATAAAATTGTTACATGCAGTTTTTTTTTCTTTTTTGGAAACTAGCAGAAAATTAATGAAATCAAAGAAAATTGTAATAAAGCCATGGTATGAAAAAGGAAAAAAAACAGTAAAGGGGGAAAAATTTTAAAAGACAATACCTGAATAGGTTTAGGAACTAAAGATGGAAATACTAATCCTGGGCAATCACATAACCTCACATTTTTGCATAACATAATTGTCTGGAAATGCTTTGTGTGTCCTGGAGTTCTGGAAACACTAACAACCTAAAAAAATAGTAATAGGTATAATTTTATTGGATTAAAAAATACTCATTATAAAGATTGGAAACTGTGAAAATTAATAATTTAGAATAAAACCAGAATTGAGTTAATGTCTTCTTAATTTTAATGCAAGTAAAGCACTAATATTATAAGGGCATGTTGCACAGTGATGACACTATCTATATGGAAAAAAATGTTTAACTACTATATGTAATATCGGAAGAAATTTTTTTTTTATTGTACCTTAACTGTAATTCTACTAAAAAATAAATCTTCATGGAAATTTCCTGCAAACAATTTAGTTTTAATATCCTTTAAGCTAATGAAAAAGAATGTTGACAGAATGAATTTTTTTTGTGGCAAATCTTGTAAACAATTATAATCTAAAATAATATGACTTTTTATAACAGTAATTATTACCACAGAAGCACTGTGAATTAATATCAAGATTTCACTTGATTAAAAATCTATTAACATAATAATTTACTAGAATATATTCATAAACTAAATAACATAAAAAAACATTTTCAATTTACAAAATCTGAGTTTATAATTAAATAGCACTGTAAATTGGCACTGTGAGTTCATATCAAGGTTTCCCTTGATTAAAAATCCATAAACATAAAGAATACAATGCAGGAATTTAAATCAATATACACATATCTGAAAGATTAAACTTTTATGTCAAGTGACCTAAATAAGTTTAATCTGCTTTTGATTGTATTTTTTACTGTCTATCTTTCTGACATATAAATGTTTCTTTACTATAATAATAATTTACTACATTATATTCATAAGCTAAATTACGTAATAAGAAAACATTTTGAATATAAAAAAACAAAGAGCACTTTAAATTGGCAAAATTTCTAACAAATGAAAGAACTCTCAGAATAACCCATCTGTTGGAGATTAGTTTTTAATGTAGTTAACAAATAATACAAAATAATGTAAAATTAAAAAAAAAATTACCTTTTTACCGCAAACTGCATTTAAAAATGAAGACTTCCCTACATTTGGATGACCTAAAACAGGCAAATTAAAACATCTTTGACAAGAAATTATACAATTGTTATTAGTCAGTAATGTTTTCTACTTTTTATTTATTTCATTCACATTGTTTATGTAATTAAACTGGATAATGAATTTATGTCTGTAAAACCAAGTTTTCCTTTTTAATGAGTAAAATTTTCTAAAAAAAAAAAGGATGTGAGACTTTATTCAAGACTATAATGAATAATAATTTCAAAGATTGGTTATTTTAATTCCATATTTAGTGAGTATATTAAAAACACATATAAATATATGTAACAATAATACATAAAATTTCTAATTAATTTCAGTATTTGTTCTTTTGCTTTTCTAAGTATATTTAACAATATTTTTTTATATGTCAAAGAAAATTAGAACTGATAATGAAAAAATTAAGTAAATAGAGTCCATCTATAATTTCTAGAATTATTAGTACATATTTTTACAAAACCAACATTTATATATTACTATATTATGAGCAATTAAATAACAAAAATTTTAAACAAACTAACTTGCCAACTGAAAATTACATCACAATTTTTTCCATAAATTTTTGTAGTTCTTTTAAATGTATTTTTGTTAATAATTCTTTCAAAAATTCAAGTTTTCCTGAGAAAGAAAATAAATTTTTGAATAGTAAGAATGGAAACAAAAAGGAATATTAACCATACATTATGGAAAATAATTGGGCTTTGTTAAAGGACAATTTTCAGAACTTTGTTTAACCCATTAATGGCTCACAAAAAGTCGTATTTTAACTTCCACATAATTAAACTAGCTTTACAAGTTATTAGGTAGGGAAAAAGTGTAAAGGGGAGAAACATTCTTTCAATTTTGTTCATTTGCTGAACTGTCAGTGAGTTAAAGTTCGTTTAAGTAGTTTAAATTTTTGTGAAGGGTTCTGAAAGGGCCCTAATTTATTTCTAGTTTAACACGAGGTAAATCTTTCCCAAATGGAAAACTTCACTTTGCTCATAATCAACAAAAAAAAATTCAGAATTTACATACAAACAAAGAGAACATAAATTGTATGATCATATTTGATAATCACTACGTAGATAAAAGGTATAGCCAATTAATATTCCCCATACACGCCACAGAAAAAAAAAAACATGAAGTTCTGCACAGAAAAATTAACACCTGAAGAAAAACTATAAAAAAAGCTTAATGTGAAGTGTGTTTGGAGGGAGATATGAAAACATATGAATGAAAATAAAGAATAAACACAAAATGCACGCAAAAAGCAACAATTGAACATCTATTGATAAATATAACTTCATACACTACTGTTAGATGTACAATTAATATAGCTTAGCTATTTTTATATTAAGTTGTTTTATGATATAACCAGCATTTTCATCAAACAAGAGCACGCGATTCAAAGTTGTTCAGAAAATTCTCTCTCCTCCTGAATATCCATGTCAAATTTTATATTTGTAACAAAAACAGTATTTTCAAAATAAATATTTTGAAAAATTAAAACATACTTACCAACAAAACCAATTGTAAGAACATTGTCTTTATATCTTTCTCCCTCATAATAACTTGTGTCATTAGGTTCCTGCTTTATATCCGTGTCATTATTTTTATCCTCTTCACTTTCTATATCCAAATTGGTATCGATGTAGCATTCACCACTAGCACCGATTTGAGCTCTTTCCTTGTTAATTTTTTTCTTCCAAGTAGATAGATTTACTAACGAGATATAATAAATATAAACATTAAAATAGCATCCTCAGCTATTTATAATAACAATAATAATATTTTAAAGGTAAAATTGAAAAATTTTTGTTCAATATTATTTTCAGATACATTTGAATTTAAGTTATACATCTGAATGTTAGATACATTTGAATTTAAGTTAATAAGTAAATTTAATATACATAAATTACTTAAGTAAATTTAATATAATAAGGAAACATAAGTAATAATTCCTTTCCTTTTGAATTTAATGAAAATAATCTCCCTCTATATACATATATAAACAATCAAAAAGACTCTTTTGTAAAATATATACTTAGTAACAAGAAAAAATTAGCTTCAAAGATTTTATAATTTGTTTTTATGGGCCGAAATAAAGCAGCGAATTTCAAAAAATATAAAGCATTGCAACAAAACAATCATTATTGTGTAACAATAGGAAGGGGACATTTAAACATACCTGCATCTCCAACAATATCTTCACAAATTTTCAAAAGTTGACAAGTTCCAGCAATAGCCATGTGTAAGTTTCCGAGTCGTCGGCCTTGAAATTAATAAATAGTAAGTTTTAAATCTATAAGATGTATTAAAACTATAAATCAACGAAAAAAAAATTTAAGTAAAATTAGAAGGCTAACAAAAGAGCATGAATCAGTGTCCAGAATAAGTGGATATATGAAACAGATTCTCAGCTATCCCAAATGTTTTTTTTTTCATTTATAATTGTCTTTATGAATGATTAAGTATTCTGATTAATTATCATTTTTTAAAATTTTAAATGAAAATATTTAATCACCGATTCATCTAAAAAATAAATTATGTAATTGATTTTAAAAAACAGTTCAAGCTACTTTTAGAATTCTAACTAAAAAGATAAACAATTCTATAACAGAAAATATGAGTGCATTTCTCTTTTGTAGACATTACTTTAAGAATTTTCTTAATCAGACAATTTAAGAGTTAGTACAAACAATTTTTTTCATCTTTATAATGGACTGGTTTTGATAAAAACCATGTGCTTTTGTTTCATTTGCAGTACATAAATATGCAGTATACAGGGTTGGCAGGTTTTTGACGTGTGACAGTTTTTGACGGTTTAAACCATGGTATAAACCGTCACGTCAAAAACCTATATTTATATGTGAAATTTAAGTAATACATAAAATTTAAATATTTTTTTATAAAGGATAGTGTTTCTAAATATGATCTAGAAAAAATAAATTTAAAATTTTGAAGAAACACTTATATTTTGAATAGTAACCAAAATCTTGCAGTTGCGCAGGCTCACATCTTTTGTAATATTATGTATTCATTTTCATGTGTTATTGAAAATCTGCAGTGATATTATTAAGAAATTTATTTATAACCAAATTTAGTGTATAGTATAGATTATACTAAAAATTAGACATTTTTAAAGATAAACATTAGCAGTTTTGTACATTAGACATCTTTTAAAGAAAAATCTTTTTAATATTCTTTTAAATCTTCTTAATAATCTTTTTAACATAAGACAATACAAATTTAAGTGCTTTCTGTTAAATACACAGAGTAGTTAGTGTCGATTTACAGTATATTCAGCCTATTCATTTACTATGCTGAAAATTTAGTTTATCCAAATACTTGTGAATTTCATTTTGCTGAATACTATATAGTTTTGTTGAATATCTAAATATTCAGCTGTTGAATAATTACTTCTTACTTTCAAGATATGCATTATTTGTATTCTTAATACAAGTGGAGAAAAAAAAATTAAGAGATAAAAATTGTTTTAAAATGATAAGTGTAATAATTATAAATAAATATAATAAACAATATGAATTATATTTATCATTATTCATAAATATAACTACTTTTAAATTCAAATTAACATACTGGATAATAAAGATATTCGGTATAACATTAAAAAAAAATTTTTATACACTTGTATCTTATATCAAGTTTGTATTTATACAACATAACTTGTAAGTTCCTTATAAATATTAGTTATATGTTCCTTATATGTCAAAAATGCATAGTAATAAACTTTTAATTTTCTTAAGTATCAAAAAGAAAAAAAAAATTTTTTTAAATATAAATATTTAAACAATTTTTGTGCAAAATTTTTCTGCACATGCATTTGAATATAAATTTCTGAGATTTTAAATCTGTTATTTTACCTTAATTTTAATTAAAAAATATTTTAAAACCTGCTGATTACCTATAGTATAATTAAATTTCAATATAATGCATGGCAACTGTTGGTAGTTTTGAAGTTTATATATTTTCTAGGCAAACTTCAGTTTTTGACAGTTTAATCCAGTATTATACCCTTGTCATGTCAAAAACCCAACCCTGGCAGTATATAAGGAAATTTTTATGAATTGGTACCACTTTTAAAAGTCAAGCATAAATTAAATAAAAATTAGCATAACAACAATTTATAGAAATTCTGAGCAATTTATCAAGTGCCTTAGTTTTCAAAGAGTTTCTGAAAGCTGTTTTGAGTTTATTGTGACAGTTGAAGCCTCACTCCCAGAAAACAACTGTGATTACTGATAGAATAATGCGAAAATGTCATAATCTGAAGCATACTTGTTAATCTTGCTGAACATTTTTCACTTTCACCCCCTCTGTTAACATGACATTCACTCATTCATTAAAAAGATTTGGGTTTAAACACATTGAGTATTTCTTTATATTTATATCTCAAATTTAAGAACCCAATCCATAAAGCACTGTTAAAATAATACAAAAAATTTAATAATCTGGAGTATATTCGTAAATCTTGCTGAACATTCTTCACTGCAAAACTTCTCAGGCATAAGAGTCAATGTTGGACAACATTAACTTGAATTTTGCTCACTCGGCCAACATGAGATTCACATGTTCATTAAAAAGATTTAAGTTAACTTAGATGGATAATTTCCTTATATTTATCTTTTGATCCCAAATTCAAGAGCCCAAGCCATCAAAAACAGGCAGAGATGTTATCACATCCCTTGAGATGGATGGAAATTTTTTTTGTAACGCAATCTTTGTATATTTAGTCAATCTAGAGTCCTCTTCGAGTCGAGTCATAAATTATTATTCCCCACTTCTAATATTTGTCAATTAAAAACTCACAACTCTAGGGAAAAAATGACAGCTCGATTTTAATTACATTTTGTGAGACAAAACTTACTTGCCAGCTCTAAATATTCGGTTGTTGATGGCAAGCTGGCATGTAGAAATTTCACACCCTGACCGAAAGAACACATTTTTGAAAGTAACATTTGGTTATACAAAATATTTAATTAGAATTTTCAACTATGTTATAAGGAAAAAATTTTCAAAATTTTTCATGACCAGAGCAAATTTTCTTTTGCTTCTTTAAAGTTAGGAATCCTTAATCTCTTAGATTAAAAATTAGGTAATCAATTATACTAGCCTATCAATTATAAACTCAACCAGAAATTATTTTACTGTTATTTTGTGTAAAAGACTCATTATTTTATAATTAATATTTTTGCATAAAAATGCCAATCGAAAGGAATTTATAAAAAAAAGGTCGAAATTAAAGGGCTATAAGATAGTTAGTATCATTCGTATATACAAATATTGATGTATTATTTCAAATCAACATATATTTTTCTCACCACTTTTCCCTTCTTTCAAGATCATTCCAGCATAAGATGCAAAGCACATAACATTTAATGCAGGAAAATGTTTTTTGAAATATTCTTGCCAGGCCAAAACCAATGGAGCAGGGACAAGATCTATCTTATTCAGCACCAAAATCATACTTTTTTTCAAATCCTTGATCACATAATCATATAATGCAGGCGAAAAGTGATATACCTGCAGAAATAATATTCTAATGAAAAAGTTTATTCAAAATAAACATATAATTTTGAAACATACAAGAATGGTTAAAAAAAGTCCTCTGAGGGAAAAAACACACGCAAAATTAGTACAAAGTTACAATATACAAAGAGAAAAACAGTATTTTAGACACTTGTTCATAATATTTATCTTTATANCGTATAAACGATGCTCCACTGTAATTTTGAAACATACAAGAATGGTTAAAAAAAAAAAAACTCCTCTGAGGGAAAAAACACACGCAAAATTAGTACAAAGTTACAATATACAAAGAGAAAAACAGTATTTTAGACACTTGTTCATAATATTTATCTTTATAACGATAATGTTTGTCGAAACATTTGTCCATCTGTATGTTGTTCTATCAAAAGTAGCATTGAACTTTTAAAACTTGATAAATAAATACATTTTGACGAATCACAAAATATTCTATGTATATTTGAAAATATACTAACATGAATAAAGACACATTACTAATTTTAATTTGATTCAGTAGGGTTATTATGCGCAATATGAATCTTCATTTCAATGCATTAGAAAACCCTTAAACTAAATAATCTCGAAAACTCCCATACCTTACAACAATGAATTTTTCAAAAAGTGGTATACTTACTGGATATCGTATATCAGCCACTTGTAGAACAATATCAGAAAATTCTATAACTCTCCATAACTGACGCCAGGTTTCTAAATTCATTTCAAAATGACTAAGTTCTTGTTCTCCAAATTTCAATTCTAAATTTTTTACATATTCCTGCAAAGAAAGATATAATTAAGCTTAACTAAAAATTCGAGGAATTTAAATTCAGAAAAAGTTTACCAAACACAAGATTAAAAAGCATAAATTGAAAGATTTATTAAAAAAAAATTCGTAGATTCCTATCATTAATCTAATAATAGTTGATTATTAGATTGCAGCAAAAAATTTGAATTAGTTCACTTTATTTATTATTAGGAAAGTAAATAGTTTATTAATGATTATAGATAATACACACAGTCCATTTATGATTACAGATAAAAAAAAATCACAAAGCAATTAAAAATATTAATGTATTTTTATAAAAAATATCCTAAGAGTATGGCTATTTTTAATAAAAATATTTTTATAAAAAATATCCATACTCTGAAATATTTTTGTTCTTGCATTTCTAATTGCTCTTTGCTCAAAGAAAAATCCCAAGGAGGTCGTTTAGGCATATCAAGTTCAGTCCCAGGAACAAATACTTCTTCATAAGAAACTTCAAGTTTTTCCTGAAATAAACAAAGAAAGAAGATTTTCGTAAGGAAAAATATTTTTAATAAATTTAAAAAAAAATTGTTTTAATAAAAAGTGTTAATTTAATTCTTGAAATATTCTTAAATAATACTTAAATAAATACCTCTGGTAAAAAATCATATGGTTGTTTTGCAATAGTAAGTCTTTGCTTTATATCTTCTTGTTTCTCTTTTTTGAAGACAAGGCGATATCTGAAATGAGTTTTTGGTTATTATGCATTAAAAATGCTCTATTTGATGTTTAATATTAATATATACTTGTTTTTACTAATCATTCATTTAGGTTTTGTAGTTTCATTAGTACAGTGCACCAAAAGATGAAAAAAAAAGAGAAAAGGACCACCCATAATTTTTGATCTAATGATCGGACCTTTATGCTCCATGACTCCATTTTAATGGTTCAAGGAGATTACCTAAAATATTCTAATTAATTAGCACAAATGATAGTTCAAATCAGGTCCAAGAACGTACTCACTTTGAATAAAGATACCCTTCTTTTCGACGGATTTGAATTTCTGACCCCCCAAAATGTAATATGGCCCCATAGTTTGTCACGAGAGTGATCTTATGTTTGGATCAGCTAATGTTAATTTTATTTTGTTGCGTATTTCGCCATATTTCCTGAATTTTTCAAGCAAATTGAAAAGTTTTTGCATACAATAATAAAATTCATTCATCTAAAGACCATCCTTGCAAAAAATAAATTTTAGTATATATTTCCCATTTTTTATTATTTTATTCAATAACAGTCGTAAAACTTTTGAATTGCAAGATACATAAATTTTTACATAATTTTAAAGTATCTAATTTTACACAGAAAATTACAAAATTTGAGTTAAATCGGTTGTATAGTCCCTAAGAAAACGAATTTTAAATAAACAACTTTTTGACTTGAAGGTCAAAAATCCGAATCCGTCGAAAAAAAGGTATTTTTATTTAGAGAAAGTAGGATCTAATTTTGTAATTTAAAACATCCTCTGCACCAATTAATGAGAATATTAGGGATCACCCCTTCAAACTATTATAATTGAGTCCTGGAATTGGCGCACTGTACATTTCATGGCACTAGCTTAAAAACAGCTTGCATTACTACGAAGATATCAGCACTTAAAATGAAACCTTAAGTTTAGCAGTGTAAAATTTTTCTTTTGTTCAAAATTATTATTAGATTTTTTAAAATTAAAAATTATTTTCTGTGTTTCAATTATTCAGTTAAGAAAATAAATGCATTCAAAATTAAAAATGTATTAATGTTGGTTAAGCATTATCTAAAGTGCTTTGTATTATTGGGAATTGTTTAGTACAATAAATACTATAGCAAGCAAATACGATGAATAATATTATATTTATAACATAGCTATACCCATTTATTAGACATTATAAACTGTAAAGCTGAATAATAATAACAGAAATTAAGAAAGATTGCCTTTATCTGAACCAATTGAAAATGCCGCCATTTCAAAGGAACTAAAATAAAATCATCACCAATCGATACGATTTCATGCCAAAATAATTTATACTTTTAAAAATTCGGTCAAAGCTATGGTGCAATATTTTAGTAAATTAATTTTAAAATAACACAAGTTAATAAACTAGCATGATTCTGAAAAGATAAATTATTGTCAAATTTATTTTTTCATAATTTATTCACATAGTTCTTACAATTAAATTNACAAATAAATACTCAAATCTAACAATCATTGATTTCAATATTGTAGAAAAAAACCATGAAAACATAAATTAAAAAAATTAATCGATAAATTGTTATAAAGAGCTATAATATAAACACAGAAATTTTAACTTAAAAATTAATTATAACAAGCTTGCATCAGGATGACTACAAACCCTCAGAAAAGGAATTTCCTGTCTTTGCCTGATTTATCCAGACTTTATTGAGTGTACCTGATTTTTAGAATTAATGTCATAAATTTTTTACATATATCATATTCTTATATGTAATATATAAAGCAAAACATGGACTTCTTTATATAGGACATTTATGTACCTCAAATTAATCAACTTTCTGGACTTCTTAATGTTTTTTTAATTTAATACCCTAATATTGAAAGATTTCTATATTGGTACTGACAACAAAGTAATCACCAAGTATTAGCTACCTCCAGGCAGTTGCTTGCAAGACACGGAAAAAAAAATTCAGAAGGACTTGAAAGGTACGCCCAGCAAATCTCAAAAAAATTTTTTCGAAATATTTAATTTTTGCAAGTTTAAAATCTCTTTGGTACCTTGGGGATAGTAGTAAACACGAACAGCTGTTCGATATAAAAATATACCGTCTTTCTTTAAAAAAATAAAAAGAAGAAAAAAATACTAGCAAAAAGTTTGTGTAAAGTTTGTAAAAAATAACGATTTCCCTAAGGAAAAAAGTGAAAAGCATGGACTTTCTTAAAATAAGTGACGTAAAACCTGGAGTATTTCAATGTTATCGGTAAAAGATATTTATGCAGGGAATTAAGCTTGCTAAAATTCCTTTAATAGATTAAAGTTTACAGCATTAATAAATCTTACAAAATAATCAGGAGAAACATATTAAATGATGAGCTTGTTAGTGAACAAATGAGTTTAAATACTCAGTAACCCTTGGCAGAAAGAGACCAAAATAGTCAACATAGTTTGGAAAATGCTCAAAAGAGTCCCGAAATCATAGGAAAAAAAATTAGCTTTAACTTTTTTACCCATGATTCTTTAGGGAGGACAGATCAAATGCATCATTTCCCTGGGTTACCTTAATTGTTAAATAATACCTTGGATGGCTGGGATATATTTACAACTTAATGGAGGAATCAGTGCGGCCTTGGGATAGAGTGAAGACTTCTTACACAGAATATAGATGCTAATTAAAAGTTTTATTAATTTCACAACTGAATATTTACATATCTAAAGATAAAACATCTATATTGTTTTTCAGATACATCAAGTAAAAAATAAACAGCTGTGACTTGAAACATAAATAAAAATCTATTCCCATATTTAAATAATTAGAAAGCAACAATTAGAAAAATAATTATAAAGTGATGAAAAAATTAAAATTTAAAATGATATTGATTAAATAAAAACAACAATTTTCATTTCTATTAAATACACCTACTTAAATTTACTTCAAGCGATAAATAATCAAATTAAATCATACATTTGATATTGAATAAACATGGTCAGTTACAATCAAGAAACATAATGAAATCCTTTGACCATATGTTAAAAAATAAAATAAGTAATTTACCAGTTTTTGTACCATCCTGTTTCTTCTCCCTACGTTGCTGCAATTGAAGCTTTTTTTGTTTGGCACTGAACGGTACTTTTCTTTTACCTTGAGGCATCCTATAAATTTAAATAACAATCAAATTTATTTTGAAATAATAATGAGAAATTCCTCTAAATATATTAAATGATTGAATCAGACGTAAAAAAATTAAATAACAACCAACTGTATCACCTTAAAGTTTTTAAAAGCAGTAAGAACCTAATATTATTAATGCAATTAATTTAATGGATAAATATAGATTTATAGAATAATTTTTCAAAATGCAAGAAAACAAATAAACAAAAACATTTATTTTCAGACTTTGTGGTTGAAGTTAATTTATGTCTAAATTTTATTCATGTCCAATTTATCATAGACAAGATTTTGAAAAAAAAATTTAATATTTCATCTTTGGTTTATTAAAGAAATTTTCAGACATTCTAAATGAATATGAGAATATAATAATTTAATTAAAAATTCAAATGAGAAAACTATATTTTATTAACTGTAATCGGATATGTGTAAGCAAATGTAAACAAACATGAAAATTTTTTGACAGATGTGTTCTCTTAGTTTAATTGCAGTTAATCTAATTTCGGCTGCAAAAAACTATACAATTTTCTAAATTTTCATGATTATAAATTAGAATAAATTTGCTGATTCATGTTAATTTATTGTACTATTTTTATTTGATATGGACAATACATACGTGTTGTAAAACAAGTTCAATGCACTTTATGCTTTTCTAAAAATGGAATTTCAACATGAAATAAAAGAAATTCTTCCTGGTGCAATAACTATAATAGAATCTAAGGATTCCAATTCAGTTTTACAAATATATAGTTTAAAAAATCTTGACAATCACTGTCAAGGTAAAGATTGGATTTTTAATTCTGCAAGTAACATTTGGGATGCTGCTTTACGGAAGTAATTTGTTTTTCAATTTGTTTAATTGTATTCGAATTCTGGTTGTGCGTGAGTATTTTGACGAGGAAAGTTGATCAATATTTTAATTACTTTAAACGCATTATAAATTGAAAGTGAGCTGTAATTAATATGCTTGTTAGTTAAAATGATATTTTACATTCTGAGTTGAGATCTAAATTTCGGAATATTTCCAGCTATGAGTTATACCCTTCGACTTGGTCCCTTTCTGTGATTTTTTTTAAAAAGTTTATCGCTGGCCGCTGCCTGGAAGTTGCCACGCCTTGGCGATTATTCTGAAGCAGATCACGATACATAGGAAAATCTCCCCCATGTTTGCACCAACTATCATCACAAGATGCATAAAAGTTTTGTACTAGCAAAAGTTTTATAAGATTAAAAGTTATAAAAGATGTGGTTGTGAATTGTCTTGGGGTGTGGTGACAATGAACAGAACGACCTTCGGATCTGTTTCCTTCTATTACTGTTCCTCACGTTTTTGAGTTGTTGCACAATTTTTGCGATATCAATAATGTAGGTACTAATAAGGAAATTTTCTCCTAAATTTATTGTTCCCATTCTATTTTAAATTATATGATATTCATCTACTTATATGAGCCATTTAAAGATCAAGTTATTATTGACAGCAGTGATGGTTAATAGTGTTAATTGGTAGTACTTAATTTGTGGTAACAGTTGGTAAATGATTCTACTATTGTTTATACTGTGGTAATAGGTTTTTTACATTTTTCAAAATAATTAAATACCAAATTATTTTTTCATAGCTCGATGTAAAAAAAAGTTGGATTTTTTTTGTTGAAGGATATCTGTACACATACGCACATTTTAAGTGTAATTTAAATTAATGTAAATTATTTTTGCACATTCGAACTTAAAAAATATTTTCTCTTTTTAGAAAACAGGGAAATTTGGAAAATGTGATTGATCAAATCGGCCTTGCTTCTTCACGGGTAATTATATGCATATATAGATCATAAGACTTTATTCATATGAATGTTATAATTAATCTAACTGGGTTTTTTGGTTTTCAATGGTAATTATCTATTAATAAATAATAGGTTAGTATTTTTTTCTTCGGTGTGGCTCTTTTAAAAGTAGATTGTAATTTCTAATAAGCAACTGAAAAGAAGATTAATATTTTTTTTATTTATTGTAAGTTCAAATAAATTAATTAACCTGAGTATTATACTTTTTCACATAGAAAAGTTACAAATTCATTTTTAAGTCCCAATCTATTAACGTGATTAGCATATCATTATGATTATTAATTTGTAATATTTCTATTTATTATTTCTAAAAAAAATGATCTTTACTATATTTTCTTTTATTTCAAAGCTTAAGCTTAAAGATATTATGACCAGACTCGTATAATATACATGAACGTTATTTGTGGGAAATTTGTCACCATCGTGGAAATTTTTTTACTACCTATTGCTGAAGAGGAAAAAAATCCTCCTCTTTAAAGAGACTTTGTCTTTTTTGAATTACTGAAGGGGGAAAAAATCAGTTTTATACTTTTTTCTACCGATGCGAAATTGATTTAAAACTGCATTCAAGCAATTTAAATTCGCACATTGCAATTCCTATTTACGCACTTTAAGATTGCACAACGTATTTATAATTTCATGATTTTATATCAGATATCACGTTTCATATTCACGTGATTCAGAAGCCACTATTATAACCGTGTTCAAGTGAATTAAAAATTATAGATCGAAATTTGTATTCATGTGATTTTAAAATGAAACATCAAGATTCGTATCCGCATGATTTTGAAATAAGACATCAAGATTCGTATTCACGTGATTTTGAAATTAAATGTAGAGATTTTTGCACTTGCGTAATTTAAAAATCACACCTTGGAAATTCAAACAATTTAAATTGAATTGATATTTTTATCAAAAGTTCATAGCATTCTGTAGATAAATACTTCCTACATACACCTTTTCTAGTGCAAAATTCAGGCATTTTATCAATTATTTAAAAAGTATTATTATTTTTGCAAATAGCATTTTTGGATATTTTCAGCTTTTTTGGTTTTGGCCAAACCTGTGGTATGAATCAATATAGAGTTCTATAAAAATTAAACATTTTTAAAAATATCCGTGATTTTCAAACCAAAATTTTGCTAAAATGTGATGGTGGCAAAAATATTGAATCTACTTACATAATGCATGCAGAATCTTTTTTTAATTGAGATTATGTGTCCCTAGAAAGTTTTTCATTTTGTCTAAGCCTGATTATGCCTACATACAAAGTTTCTCTTTGTTGAATTTATTTCGTGTGTTATTTCTTTTTTGACTATTATTATGACTTTAGTTTTTTAATTATTACGAATGATATGGAACGTGGAGTTAAAAGCTTTTGATCTCACAAAACAACTACAGGCTATTCCTTTGACCCTTATTTCCTAGATGAACCAAACGAATAAATCCATGGGATTATAGAAATCTGGTGAATCATGCGACCATTCTTATACTGTATAAAATCAAGAAATAGAAAAGGTGTTTCTGCTTTAGCTATTCTTGAATTTCTTTAGCTTTGTCTGCTGGACCAAATTCCTGTTGGAAGGTTTAAAAAAAATAATAGTAATTGTGATTATGAAAGTATTACATGTTATAAATGTTTTGGGATAGTAATATTTGATTTTAAACTTGCTTCAAGTTATTTCTTGTCATCTCGTAAAAGATAATATATCTGCCTAGCGCCATTTGTACTAATTAAGGATTTTTTCAGAAATTTACTCAGAAAAAGTATTATTACCAACAAATTCTAATACGTAGATAATTTTTTTATCATCTCATATTATAATGAAAATAAATTAAGCTCTTTATATTTGCTGCTCAAATTTTTATTACTTTCCATTATGAAATAATATTTATTATTTTTTTGTAGGCTCAAGATCTAGTAATGCCTATAACTACATTCAAAAAATTACTCCATTCTCATCAGCAAAAGTTGTATATAATTCGAGATGTGGAGGAACCATTGTAAGTTTTTCCTTAATATATATTTGGTTAATTCTAATTCATGTAATTNTTGCAAGTTGCAGCTGAGAATATAATAATTTAAATAAAAATTCGAAAAACTATATTTTATTAACTGTAATCGGATATGTGTAAGCAAATGTAAACAAACATCAAAAATTTTTGACAGATGTGTTCTCTTAGTTTAATTGCAGTTAATCTAATTTCGGCTGCAAAAAACTATACAATTTTCTAAATTTTTATGATCATAAATTAGAACAAATTTGCTGATTCATGTTAATTTATTGTACTATTTTTATTTGATATGGACAATACATGCGTGTTGTAAAACGAGTTCAATGCACTTTATGTTTTTCTAAAAATGGAATTTCAGCATGATATAAAAGAAATTCTTCCTGGTGCAATAACTATAATAGAATCTAAAGATTCCAATTCAGTTTTACAAATATATAGTTTAAAAACTCTTGACAATCACTGTCAAGGTGAAGATTGGATTTTTAATTCTACAAGTAACATTTGGGATGCTGCTTTACGGAAGTAATTTGTTTTTCATTTTGTTTAATTGTGTTCGATTTCTGATTCTGCATGAGTATTTCGACGAGGAAAGTTTATCAATATTTTATTTACTCTAAACACATAATAAGTTGAAAGAGAGCTGTAATTAATAAACTTGTTAGTTAAAATGATATTTTACATTCTGAGTTGAGATCTAAATTTAGGAATATTTCCCAGTACGAGTTATACCCTTCGAGTTGGCCACTCTCTGTTATTTTTAGTTTCTCGCCTGCTGCTGCCCGGAAGTTGCCACGCCTTGGCAATTATACTGCCCCAGATCATGATACGAAAACCTCCCCCATGTTCGCGCCAACTGTCATTACGAGATGCATCAGAGTTTTTGTGCTAGTAAAAGTTTTATAAAAGATATGGTTGTGAATTGTCTTGGGGTGTGGTGACAATTTTTGCCATATCAATAACATAGATACTAATATGGAAATTTTCTCCTAAATGTATTGTTCGCGTTGTATTTTAAATTACATGGTATTTATCTACTTACATGAGCCATTTAAAGATCCAACTATAATTGACAGCAATGATGCTTAATTAATGGTGTTAATCAGTAGTACTTAATTTGTTGTAATAGTTGGTAAATGATTCTACTATTGTTTATACTATGGTAATAGGTTTTTTACAACATTCTAAATGATTAAATACCAAATAGTTTGATATAAAAAATAGTTGGATTTTTTTTTAAGGATATCTGTACACATACGCACATTTTAAGTGTAATTAATGTAAATTAATTTTGACCATTCAAACTTAAAAAATATTTTCTCTTTTTAGAAAACAGGGAAATTTGGAAAATGTGATTGATCAAATCGGCCTTGCTTCTTCACGGGTAATTATATGCATATATAGTTCCTAAAACTTTATTCATATGAATGTTATATTTAATCTAACTGGATTTTTTGGTTTTCAATCAGAATATCATAATTATCTATTAATAATTAATAGGTTAATTTTTTTTCTTTGGTATTCTTCTTCTTTCTAATAAAATAGTTGAAAAGAAGATTTATATTCTTTTTATTTATTGTAAGTTCAAATGAATTTGTTCACATGAGTATTACTTTTTCACTTAGAAAAATTACTAATTCATATTTTTAAACCCCTATCTATTAACGTGATTAGCATATCATTGTGATTATTAATTTTTAATATTCATATTTATTATTTTTAAAAAAATTATATCTTTACTATATTTTCTTTTATTTCAATGCTTAAGCTTAAAGAGATTATGACCAGACCCATATAATATATGTGAACACGGTATGTGTACTAATTAATGACTTTCTCAGAAATTTACTAATGGGAAAGTATTACCAACAAATTTAAATATGTAGATAATTTTTTTATCATCTCATATTATAATGAAAATAAATTAAGCTCTTTATATTTGCTGTGCAAATTTTTATTACTGTCCATTATTGAATAATATTTATTATTTTTTTGTAGGCTCAAGATCTAGTAATGCCTATAACTACATTCAAAAAATTACTCAATTCTCACCAGCAAAAGTTGTATATAATTCGAGATGTGGATGAACCATTGTAAGTTTTTTCTTAATACATATTTGGTTAATTCTAATTCGTGTAATTTTATTTATTAGAATCTTTCAAATCTGCTGTAACCATCTTATGATTTTCAGATTAGAATTGAGTTTGATGCTATTTTTGATATTGATAAAACATAAAAAAATTTTACTCTTGATATCAATTTTTTATTTCAACTTCTTTTGAGTTGATGTTTATGCTAAGTTATGTTGTTAAAATACTTTTATTTTGAATGATTAAAAGAAAAAGTGTTGTGTTGTTTTGATCTATAAAAATGATATTGAAATAATGAAGTTTAATTATCCTGATCCTTAGAGTGCACGAATTTTTTTTTAATTATCAAAGTGTTCTTACAACAAATATTTTGTAAGAAAAAAAATTAAAGTTTTATATGATTTGGAACAAATTACTGTTTTTAATACTGAAACTAGCAAGATTTCGGCATCCTTGCAACTGACTTATGAAGACGGTGTAAAGAGCCAGAAATTCTTCGTAGTAAATTCTATTTCACCTACTTAAATAATTAGAAGTATAGAAAGAGGGACTTCAGGTAAATCTAGAGTAAATCATGAATTAAGTGCTGAAAAAGTTTTTTCACACTATCAAAATGCAAAAAAATCATGGCAGAATTACTCAAGATTAGGCATTAAAGAATTTATCGTAATATAATTTATTTGCATTTCCATATTTTGGAAAAAATCTTTCAGCATTTGAAACTTTATGTTTCACTCTATTTTTATCTGAACTCACTTTTTCTATGTTTTACATTTTATAATACTGATCGTGAGTAAACGGAATTTGCCATGAAAAATTTCTCCCACTGAATAGTGTCCTCTAATGCTGTTTGAACTTCACAATCGCGTTGCAAGTTGCAGCTTGACTGAAAGGCCATTATCACTGGATGAAGTTTTTTCCCTTCTGAAGCAACATCCTGATTGGTCAGTTTTTTGTGGGTAAATATTTTCCGCCAATCTGATTCTCATTCTCATGGGGAAAAAATCATAGGTTACAAGAGTGGTCCTTAAGGGGTAGAGAAAAAAAGGTTAGCGTTCTAGTTAACATTTGTTAATCACTTCGCAAATTCTCTTTATTTTTTTCAAGAGGGTTACTTAGGTGTGGTTTTATCTGGTACAATTATTTATGGCAACTGATCCTAACATTGTTTAAAATTATTTCAAACAATTATAGTTGAAATAAATGAAAATCAGAAGTACTAGGTCAAAATATTACTGGTACTTTTTGGATGAAAAATGACAAAGTTTTATCATTTATGCAACAGTTTAATTTAATGTTTAAAGCATGATCTTATCATAAATAACAAGCTTGCATTGAGTTTAAAAGAGATTTATATTAAATTTTTTTGTTATTATTGTACTCTTCTGTTGTTTATTTAGTGATTTTCTAATTGCTACTTTGTTCTTGTTTTCACCAAAAACTCCTGACTTACTAACTCTGTAATTGCCTTCTGTCTTCTTTAGTTCTGTAATTGGCATTCTAAAGATTGGACAAAAGCGCCTTTTTATATGCAATGACATGAATGCCCAGCATGAAGTTGATACTATGTGTGTTTTAGACTTTTATATTCATGAGTCGAGGCAGCGTTGTGGATATGGTCATAAACTGTTTGAAATAATGCTAAAAGTGAGTGTTTTAGTATAATAAAAGTTCTAATTATTTTTTCTTCTGGTATTTATGCATTTAAAAATTTTCATTGAAATTATTTCCCTAATTTTTATAGTTAATAGAAATTGTATTATTTTGTTGTTTAGTCTTAAATATAAATATAATGTATATTAACGGAACTTTGGAAATTTTAGCTTTTTGCAACACCAGACATTTGAAGAGCATTTATTTTATAATAGAATTAAATTCACTGCTCTCATTTATTTATTTATTTTTTATTTAAAATTTGAATTAGCATTTAAAATTCTCAAAAAAAAAGAATATTTATTGCGGTTTTTCTACATGAATTAATTGATAATTTTATTAAATAGTTTTATCGTAACTCTGTTGTAATTTTCCTCTGAGAAAAATATCCACCTCTTTTAAACCATTTAAAAATTTACCCATTAATAACCTATCTAAAATTTAATAGTTGTGTAATTTTTAATTATTATTTTTTAATGAAGGTTAGCTTTAAAAATAGAATTTCTCTCAATTAGCCAAAAAATAAAACAAATTGATGGGGATGATCCCAGATGTTGGTAAAATAAATAAATAAGAAAAACGTGGTTTATCTTTTTGTATAGTATACTATTAAATTACTTATTTAATGGAACTTTTCCAACAATTTGAAATAAAGGCTTTATTAAAAACTTTTTACCTAAAACCTGCCTGATATAATCGAAATATTCAATTTTCTATATTGACATGTGATTCAACTTAAATAGAGCTGTATTAACTAGGGATAACCTTTGCTCATTATACAATTAATTCCACATAAATAAAACGCCATGATCAATTAATTTCTTTAACTTTCTCAGAAAACGAACCATATATTTTATTTAGAACTATTCTTTTAATTAGAATTAAATAATATTAATTCTTTTTTAGAATGAAAATGTGGAGCCTGCTAAGCTTGCTATTGATCGACCTTCTTATAAGTTTCTTGCCTTTTTAAGTAAACATTACAATTTAAAAGATCCCAAACCTCAACCCAATAATTTTGTTGTATATGAAGGATTTCTTGACAGAAATGGTATAATTGTTTAATCTATCATTGTATCTTTAATTACTACAAAGTGTAATGGTTTTGAAAATACCTGTCGTATAAGTTCATTCGTAACATGTTGATTTTTGAGTACTGAAATAATCTTTATTCTATTTTTAATTATTTGGAGTTAACTTAGAATTAAACCAAATCAATTATATTTGAGTTAATATGATTATTTTTTCATGATTCGCCTAAAAAAGTTTAATGATTCTTTAATACATTAATTTTAGTTCCAAATGAGGGAGTTTACTCGCCTACTTTTGTAGTCCCTTTTAAATTGTTTGCACTTTAATTGATGCAACTAAGACTTAATTATTTGCATTAAAAATTCATAACTCTTTAATGAATCAACAGATATTTTTATACCTCTACTAATACTTGAATAGAGTAAGTTTAAGATGCTCTGCATTAGCTGTACGTAAATGTAATAATTGAATGTAATGAAGTATGTAAATAATTTTACCAGTTTTGTATTAGGATTTTTGTTTTTAATTTTCAATATTTTTTCCATTTCTTATTTGTATTATTTTCAAATCTTATTTCATTATAGTTTAAATTTATTATTTTAGTATACTTTTTTTCATTATTTTTCATACTTTATTTCATTATTTAAAGCGTTATTATAAATGCTTAAATATTTTATTACTGATGTTTGAAATTTACTTTCATAAACATTTGCTTACATTTTTATTTCCTTTATTATTTATATATATATTTTTTTATTTTTGCTGCTTTTTTATTATTTCCTCTATGTTTTTCTTTTAATTTTATTTTGCATTATTTTTCATTAGATTTGAGACCACCCATCTTTCTCTATAATGAAAAAGGTAAGAACTTAGCCTTTAATGAAGAGAATTTGCATAGAAAATAAATTCACTTTTGGTATATATATAATATTGTTATGATTTTTATACAAAATTACTTATTCTTACATATTCCTTCATGATTCATTTATAAAATGATTATTTGATTTACGGAAAGTTAATTAGTATTGTGTTTGTTTTCAACCCGAAATTTCTCAAATGACACTTCTTCCTAATCAGTGTTCTCAGTAGCTTCTAAAAAAATTTAGCAATTTGGCTAATCTGTAAAATAAGACATGAGCTTAATAAAAATAAAAGGATGTGCGCAAAATAAATTTGTCCACTACCTCCACAATTACTAATCTGAATTCCATTATGGACTATTGAAAATACCAAAACAATTACACTCTAGAAGCTTTGGCTTGTCAAGTAGGAAAAAAAATCTTATGAAAGACAAATGTTCGATTTCAGTCAGTGGCGTACGCAAGGGAGGGGTTTAGGGGTTTAAACACCCCCCTTGAGCTCAGATAAAATGGCAAAAATAAAAATTTTAGTAGAAATTATGCGTGCTATTATTTTTTAAGACTATGTATTTTTATTTGCCTTTTTTCTCACGGTATTTCTCAGAATACTGAAAAAACATTTACTATAATAGGGTTGTACTTTTGAAACCAAATTCACGTGATACTGTTACGGACTGGTTCCTTTCTGTCCAGCCAGTATAGTTTTCGAGACTAGCTGTCATTCGCGAGGTCTTTACGTGATGATTCTGGATTCCTAGACTTTCTGTCGTCTTAAGAGACAATTCGAGAATTTTGAAGATGCTGTGAAAAATTATATAAAAGGGGGAACGGAGTACAGTGGAGTTAGTTAGTCAGACTAAGAGTTATCTCTACCGCTTGTCTTTCGTAGCTTGTCGCTAAATCTGTTTTGTTTCGTCTTAACAAAAAGTTCATTAAATCGCCGAACCTGTTGTCGCCACTATTTCGACTAGTGAAAAAAATCAGTAACAATACCATTGGAGATACTGTGCTCGTTGAAGTTATTCATTCCAGCTCGAAACTTTGAGAGCCTAGCATAGCGGATATTTCTGTGCCAATATATGTATATATATAGATATTTGCTTTTCTTGAATCTTTAGGATGTCAAAACGCAAGAATTTAACAATTTTTAATTATTTTGAGAAAAAATCACGACCTGAAATTAGTGAGGTGACAGCATCTAGTACCAATGTAAGTTTTTCTGTTGTACAGAAATGTGATACTTCCGTTGAAGAAAACGTTTCTAGCATAGCAAAATCTGATGAATGTGAAAGTGGTCCTCAAAGTGTTACTTCCCACCCATATGACATTGGACTTTTTTCAGAAGATATTACATTATGTTCCTAAACTTAAAAAAATCAAATCAAAATTTTACTAAACAATGTTGTCGAAATAAAAAGTCAAAATTGTCTAGCTGTCTAAATTAGGGAAATAATAGTGCTTTATTACAGACTCGAATTTCTTTTAGTAGTTTCAGAAAATTATGAACACCCCCCTTGAAAAAATTCTGCGTACGCCACTGATTTCAGTTAACTCTATTTTGTAATATAGTACATTAGTGGATTTAAATAAGTAGAAAAAATATATTTCTAAAAAGAAATTAAGTTATAAGTAAAGGAAATTACACTCTGGAAGCTTTGGTTTGTCAAGTACGAAAAAAAAATCTTATGAAAGACAAATGTTCGATTTCAGTTAACTCTATTTTGTAATATAGTACATTAGTGGATTCAAATAAGTAGAAAAAATATATTTCTAAAAAGAAATTAAGTTATAAGTAAAGGAAATTTTGTTAGTATTCATCTCTTTTTCTTAGACACACAATTCAAGTGCCTTCTTAAAATTGTGCAGTGTTCCAGTGGGCCCATTCAGGCAAACAGATATTAGATTATTCACATTTTTATGCATGCATTCAATAACTAACTTATCTTTTCGTTGAATTCATAACAACAAACCCCCTCTAACGGTCTTTAAAGTGTAGGAGTGTAATTGCAGCTAAGTGTACCTTGTTGCTTACTATTGGACAAAGTTGCTGTGAATGATTTCTTTCATTTAAGTAATGTAACTTAAGTAATGTAAACTAATGTAACTCTTCGTTGAATGTTAACTTTATTAAAATAAATATTAATCAGCTGTTTAAACATTTTTATTGGATGAGTTATTCTTATTTTTTTTATGTATATTTTATTTATATGCATAATTTTTTAATTTCATTTTTAGATTTAAACAAACAAGAGAAAAATTTTAATGTTCATGATGTTATGCATTGTTATTCTGGAACTGAAAATTCCCTAACATCTGGTTCAAACTCTCGCTCTTCCAACTGGTTTGTATATTTCTGTTCATTTCAATTAAATACTTATATTAAAAATAATAATTTAATTCTAATTTTAGTAGTATTACTACATTTTTGTTTAATTTTTAATGAACTGTAAAAGTCTAATATTTTTCAACAATTTTATTTATATTAATTCATTGCAAAATTGATATTAAAATTGAATATTGATATTGAATCCTAATTTGTCAGGTAAATATTTTAATATAATGTATGTTAAATGTTAAAGTTCTTTTAAAAAAAAATTGAAATTTTGTTTTTTAAGTTAGAATATTAGAAAAGGCTCCCTATTTTTATTTAATGTTATAAATTTTTTAAAATCCTAAATATTCACTTTTTATATTTCTTCTCTTTCGCGCTTTTTTTATTTATTTATTTATTATTTTTTTATAAATATATATGAGAAAGCATTTAATTTTTAAAATAACTTTTTCATGATAAATATTTAAATATTTATTATTATGCAAGGAGAAAGGTATTAGTGAAATGATAACAGGAAGGGATAATTTGGTTTTAAAAAAATATTAGATAAAAGAAATGCTAGCTAAGAAAAAAAAAATTATGTGGTAAGAACTGTACTTCTTCACTAATTTGATAGCTAATCTTACATTCATATAAATTCAATCCATTGAGTAAGATATAAAATTATGTTCTATGCAATTAAGTTCAACTATAACTATGTATATAAGAGACATTGCTGTAGATAGTTAAAATACCAATTAACAAAGTGTGCATTTATGCAATCCTTCTAATGGTATTGGTTAGAAGAATTAAACAGCCTACTTTTTTTTCAAATTCAACTTCTTTGGGAAATTTAAGAAACTCCAGCATCAATACGTTTTTAAAAAATGTAAAACCATTTTTGGTGTGACCAAAAATATAAAACCATTTTTTGTGTTTTAGCTTTGTGAAATAGATCATTGAAATGTTCTTGTGTGTTAAGAAGGACTAATCTACGAATAAAAAATATTTATTTTTAGTTTCTTTTTTTGCCCTTGTTATTTAAAGAGAAAGTTGTGTATTTGGAAAAATCTTATATACTAAATTGTTTAACATTTGTTAGATTGGAGAATTTTTATTTAATGTATAAAATAAGTATTAAAAAAATACATATAACAAATCTGTATAAATAATATATGTAATTGTAAGGTATAATTTTAAGGTTTTTTAAAATTAATTTATTAATAATATGGAAATAGATATCGATACCCATGTTAGAAGACCTAAGGTACCTACATAAAAAAGGGGGCTAAAAATTATCCAAAACTGAAAAATGTTTGACTTATATTCAAAATGAAAAAAAAAAAAATTGCTGTATAGAAATAGCATTTCATAAGAAATTTTATATCTCTCAAGCTTCCAACAAGTTTTATTCAAAATTATAGGTTTGTTCATGAGAAAATTCATATAATTTTGTATTCAAAATGAAATATTTTAATATTTATAATATCATGTTATAAATTTTTTTTTGTTTTTGTTTTAAAGTTAAACTACTGTAGATTACACTAACGGTGAAAAGAAATGGCTACAACTTTAATTATCTTGGAATGTACTTTGTGTTAAACCACTTGATTATCCCAATCACTGAAAAGAAAATCTTAATGTATTTCTTTTTCAAATTCAAAACTCTTCAATCATGATTTTCTGTTTCTTACTTAATTGTGATAGTCTTCTTCAAATTATATTTATTGATTTTTGATCTTTTATATAAATTTATGTTTTTACTTTGTTACCTTTGATCATATTTTATGAACAAATTTATTGTTTCAAAATTCAAATTCCTTGCAATATAAAATTTATCAGAAAATTAGCTTTTTTGTTTTGATTAAAATAATTATTATTGTGTCTTTAAAAGTTTTTATATGTGTATTTTATTGAAAGTTCATTTAATTACTTTTAGGTAATTCTGTTATGTGAATGCATTTATTTATTTTTATACCCAATCAAGTTTTATAATCAGAATATCATGTTGTATATGTTTTATTTACATTATTTTATGGCTTTGATGTGTACAAGTTATTTTATATAAAATGTTTGTTATTGCATAGATATGACAATTTTTTTTCCTTTCAAAAATTATTTAATTGAATTTAAAAAAGAAAGAATTTTCTTTTCAATGATATTTGTGGAATTCTGTGATATTGATGATCTAATTAAATTTGATTCATTCCTTTATTCTTAATATACTTAATATGTTGTTTTAATAACTGTTTTAATCTACTTCAATGTATTTGAAAAGTTGGAGTCAAACTGATTTTTTGTTGTTGATTTGTCCACTAATGACTGTAAGAGGAAAAAAGAAAGGATCAACTAATAGATCGATTTATAATAATTACTTTCAGATACAATTTAGACCAAATTATGGTTAGAATTTACGAGAGAAAGAAATTGTTATATAAATACCACTAAATATTTCATTCAGTTATTAGAGAAAGTAGAGTTAGAAAAAATTGCTTAAATATTTATTTAAAAATATTGTTGAGATATATGTTGTTGTTGATCCGTTCATATAAATTATCCTTCATGATATTTTAGGTTTAAAGAAAAAAACATTGTTATTATTATCTTTTCCTAAATGTTTTTAACATATATTATTTATGTTTATTATAAAAGAATGAAGAATAAGTATTTTATGAATGTTTAAAAGGGATGGTGAATCTTTCTACATAATAGCAAAATAGCATTAGTAAAACTCGATAAAAAATTCCAAAGCAATTTTTATACTGCTAGGAAACAATTATAATTTTTGTTTCACATTCACCACAAGTTTAATTATTATGTGATTTTAGTTATTGATTTTTTTAAACATGTTTGTATTTTTTTATTATTTTTTTTAAAGATCTTGTTTTAAAATGAATATACATATATTTGTATTGAGTTAAAAGTGTTTACCTGACTATTAATTTTATGTGTGCAATTTTTGTAGCTACTTTGTTTACTTTTAGTTGTCCCCATAGTGATGAAACTAGTTCTACTTTGGATAATTATTTCAAGAAAAAACGTACTGCTAGTACTGATTCTTTGAAGAGAATGCCATCTCCATGTAAGGCAATTCAAGTATTATTAATTTTTTTCTTTATTATTGAGTGTAAGTGCTTTCATTCAATATTTTCCATTTCATAGTATGAGATAAAAGTAATTTAATTTAAATTGCTATTTTTTTAAAAAATAAACTTTTGTCATCAAATGTTTGAAATTTCATTTAAGTTAATCAGATTTCCCATGGTACTTGAAAATCATTGAATTTTGTTGAAGGAAATTACGACTCCGAAAAGTCCTTGAATTTTGTGATAGCTCCTTTAAAAGATTTTGATTTCTCTGAGTAATTTTCATAGTAATAATAATAATCTTGCCTACAAAAAGGCATGAAAAAAAAGAAACTTAAAGTGAAATGATAGAAATTTCGATCATTCCTACTTCTTCACCATTTTCTTTACTGAAGATTAGTTCAAGGTCAGCTAAGTGGGAGTCTAGGAGTCTGGACTAAATTTCGAAAAAGACCGTTATCCTTATTTTCCCCTCTCCTGAGATTGGATTAAAAAATACAAATTGGGTGTGGGGTAACCAAATGGGAAAAGTAGCATAGCATTAAGTAGCATATTCGCTGTGTTTTCATCTCGAGATTATTGAAACTGTACTTACTTTAAAACTATTTGACTAAAATCACGAACAATACAAAATTTGTTAATAAATTTGTTAATAAATTTGTAAATTTTAGTTATATATTGATATGAGAGAGTGTTTACTATTTGATTATAGTTATTTTTTAATGCTACATTACTGAAAACATTTTATGTGCATTGATTTTAAACTGATATGAGCTGTTCAGTATTGATAAAATTATACAGGAAACTATAAAAAGTTTATATTTTCTAAAGTAAGTAATTCTGAGATCAAATATAGTATATTTTATTATTCTTTTGTGACAAGTTTTGCTTTTATTATCCTTGAATGGAGCAAATTATGCTTTTTTTTATTTATTTATTTAGTTTTTTATTTTTGAAATTAATATGGTATATATGTATACTGTTTCAAAAAATGACTTGATCTCTTTAAAAAATTTTGTCCAATACAAAAATTATATTAGTTCTGATTTTTTCTTAAACTCACTTCAAAGCCTCACTAATGTAAGCAATACAGTGAATGTCTGCAAACAAAATAAATTAAATTTTTATGCAAGATAGATAATTTTAGTACTTAAATAAAGTCTTATTTAATTTTGTAGAACTGGAATAATATGTTTAAATACAACAGAATGTAACTCTTATTTGAAAGCTAACTTAAAATAAATATTAATCAAATGTCTAAACATTTTTATTCAATAAGTTTTTCTTAATTTTTTTATGTATATTTTATTTATATGTTACCTGCAAAGTATGAATTCCGGCATTGTATAGAATGCCTAAAATTAGCCGGCAAAGTATGAAATGATTTATATTTCACACATTGCCTAGGCATTCTTTAGAATGCCAAGTGCTATTTAGGCAAAGTATGAAATAAACGTCCTGATGAGGTTATTATGTAAGTTATGTGCATGTTGCTGTGAATGACCGAAATCGGTGGTTGTTGACTTTCACCGGTGAATGTTGACAATCACATAGTCGCTTTGGTGAATGTCTGAAATATTTATTACATTAAAAAAATACCTTAAAGAAACATCAGTGTAGGGAATACCGGGCAAATGTATACCTACACTGATGTTTTTTATGGTCAAGTGCCACTGCCCGGTATACATTTGCCCGATACTCCAAACACTGATGTTTCTTCTAATCTATCGTCAGTATGTATTAAAATATCGAATGAATGTAATTATATCGACGAATAAATTAGTATCAAATCGGAAGTAATAAATATTTCGGACGTTCACTAAAGTGACTATGCGATTGTCAACATTCACCGGTGAAAGTCACAACCACTGATTTCGATCATTCACAGTAACATGCACATCATTTACATAATAACCTCATCAGGACGTTTATTTCATACTTTGCCGGTAACATATATACATAATTTTTTAATTTTATTTTTAGATTTAAGCAAACAAGAGAAAAATTGGAATGTTTATGATGCTATGCATAGTTATTCTGGAACTGAAAATTCCCTAACATCTGGTTCAAATTCTCTATCATCCAACTGGTTTGTATATTATTGTTCAATTTAATTAAATACTGATTTAAAGATAATAATTAAAGGCTAATTTTAGTAGTATTAATACATTTTTCTTTAATTTTTAATGAACTGTGAAAGTCTAATATTTTTTAACAATTTTATTTATGTTAGTTCATTGCAAAATTGATATTAAATTTGATGCTGTACCCTAATTTGTCAGGTTAAGAAATCTTTAACTGTTGTTTCAGAGGAAGAAGTTTTTAGAAGACTAGTTTAAAAATAAACATTATTTACAGAAATTTTACTATATTGTTGTATGTTAAACATATTACTTTAAAAAAATTTAAATATTTTTTTAATTAGAATATTAGGAAATGCTCCCTATTTTTATATAATGTTATAAATTTATTAAAATCCAAAATATTGCTAAATATTCACTTTTATTTGCTTTTTAATCTCTGTCTCTCTCAGATTTTTTAATATATATGAGGAAACATTTAATTTTTAATAGAACATTTTCATAATAAATATTTATTATTATGCAAAGAGAAGGATATGTGTGAAATNAAATTACTAAAATATTCTTGGAAAAAAGAAATGCTAGCTTAGAAAAAAAAAATTGTATGTGCTAAGAACTGTACTTCTTCACTAATTTGATATCTAATTTTATATTTATATAAACTTGGATCTTTTGAGTATGATATGAAAATAAGTTCTATGATAAGAGGCATTTTTGTAGTTGGTTAAAATACCAAGTGACAAAATATGCATTTATGCAAGCCTTCCATTGGAATTCATTAGGAGAATTAAACAACCTATTTTTTTCCCCTTCAAATTCAACTTCTTTGGGTAACTTAGGTAATTGGAAAAATTTAGGTAACTTTAGCATAATATACATACATTATAATAAAGTGTAAGACTATTTTTAGTGTGACCAAAAATGTAAAACCGTTTTTGGTGTGACCAAAAATGTAAAACTACTTTTGACCTTTTAACTTTGTGAGAGATCATTAAAAAAGTTCCTGTCCAGTAGGAAGGACTAATCTACAAATAAAATATATTTATTTTTAGTTTTTTTTTTGCCCTTGTTATTTAAACAGAAAGTTGTGTATTGAGAAAAAACGTCCAAACTAAATTGTCGAACGTTTGGTAGATTGAAGAATTTTTTATGCAATGTGTAAAATAAGTATTAAAAAAATACAAATAACAATTACATATAAGTTTTATATGTAATTGTAAGGCATAATTAAAATTCTTTAACATAATTTTATTAATGATATCAAAATAGTTTAGCCCATGTTAAGAGACCTAAGTCACGTACGTAAAATGAAGGGAGAAAAATTATTCAAAATTGAAAAATGGTTAGCGGCTATTGAATATTCAAAATGACAAAAATTAATTTGTTCTATAGAAATAGCGTTTCGTAAGAAATTCAATATCTTTCATGTTTCCATCAAGTTTTATATACCATTCTAGTTTGTTTGTGAGAAAATTCATATAATTTTGTATTCAAAATGAAAATTTTTAATATTTATAAATTCGTGTAATAAATATTTTTTCTTTTTTTTTAAAAAAGTTCATTGACTCCTGGAGAAAACGCCAACAGTGAAAGGAAATGGGCTCAGCTTCAATCATCTTGGAATGTACTCGGTGTTAAACCACTTGATTATTCAATCACTGACAAAAAATAATGTATTCCTTTTTCAAATTCAAAACTCTTCAATCTTGGTTTTCTGTTTCCTACTTAATTGTGATAGTCTTCTTCAAATTATATTTATTGATTTTTAATCTTTTATATAAATTTATATTTTTACTTTGTTATCTTGTATCGTATTTTATGAACAAATTTATTGTTTCAAAATTCAAATTCCTTGCAATATAAGAATTATCAAAAAATTTGCTTTTTTTGTTTTGAATTTTATAATGAACTATTACTGTGTCTTTAAACATTTTTATATTTCTATTTTATTGAAGGTTTATTTAATTACTTTTAGGTAATCCTGCTATGAATGCATTTATTTATTTTTATATCCTATAAAGTTTTATAATCAGAATCTCATGTTGTATATGTTTTATTAAGGTTGTTAAATGGCTTTGATATATACCGGTTATTTTATATAAAATGTTTTTATTGCATAGATACGTCAGTCTTTTTTCTTTTCAAATTTTTTTTATTTGAATTCAAAAACATATAAATATATCAGAATGAATTTTGTGTTCAATGATATTTGTGGAATTCTGTGATATTGATGATTGAATTAAATTTAATTTAATTTATTAATTTTAATCTACTTAATATGTTGTTTTAATAACTATTTTAATTTTCTTCAATGTATTTGAAAAGTTGGAATCAATCTGTTTTTTTATGTTGATTTGTCCATTTAGGGCTGTAAAAAAAAAAAAAAAACAATTTTATTAACAAATTTTATTTAAAAAGTCTAGCTATTTGGAAATACAGTAGGGAACCGATTATCCGGAACAATCAGGACCATCGATATTCCGGATAACTGATTTTTCCGGTTTTCTGAATCGCTACAAAATGCCTTTTTTTTACAGTTAAACCCAACTAAAAAAAGAAAAAAAAATTAAAAATAATCTTAAAAAAAAGAAAAAACGATGAAGTAATACACTAATAATTATTTCCAAAATGATGGTAAGGTAAACATCTTTAAAAAAAGAAAGAAAAATCCTAAAATTTTATGAGGAAAAAAAAAAAATTTTTAAAATGGCGGGAAAATTTTCGAATTTCGTTCCGGTTTT